CAATAATATACTTGATTTAAGATCAGGATCAGTATTAAGATCAGGATCAGCATTAATATCAATATCAGTGTTAATATCAATATCAGTGTTACCTGAGCCAGCGATGGCTTTTCTTATAGTGTAGACAAGTCCCAGTGTTAGGTAATGGTCTTCCCTCAATGAAATCAGGCACTCTCTTCTTTTTAGCACTCACTCTCTGTCCTTCAATAGCCTCATTGAATACACCTATCAGTAAAAGAAAAAGAAATAATATATTTAATTGAATGCATAATTATAATTATTCTCAATTCTAACCTTCTCCTGGTTGGTGGATGATGAATTTACACTGAGATGCTCCCAGGACAAGTGACGTGTGACAATACCGACACCAGGTGGTGAGAGGAGAGCCAAAACTCCACCTCTTTAATGGATGATCACGCCCACACTCAACACAAGATATGAAACCTTCACAGCATAACAATATTAGATCAGTCACTTTACAACTGAGAGACAGACAGACAGAGAAGTAGAGAGAGAGAGAGAGAGAAGAGGAGAAGTATATAAAGGAAGAAGAGATACCAAAAAGAGAGAGGATAAATGACTCTGTAATCTGTTGTATTATGTCCTTACTTTAAAAGGTCAAGATAAGCTAGTGTGGGATTAGATGAATGAAGTAGATCAGGATTATACTGAACTGATATCCAATGGCTACACTTTGAACATACTTGAGATGTAACCCTGAAATGATTGAAAAAAGTTAAGTATTATTATTATTATAATTATCTATTTATTTATTTATCTATTTTATGTATTTATTTATTTACTTGTTTTCTTTGCAGAGAAGGTCAGTCCTGCACTTACACCTGCTACATTCAACCGTCACTTTAATGACACTCATTTGAATTGTTCCAACTCCTTCACTTAGTTTAATGTCCACTAGTCTCAGCTCTGTACCTCTCTTCACTGGTGAGACATATTTCATATTAGTAGTAGCTACATCATCATCATCATCATCATCATCATCATCATCATCATCATCATCATTACTTGCTGTCGCTGAATCATTGTCTTCGTCTTTGATATTGATTTTAGAGGAAAAGTCCTCTAAAAATGACTATTAACAAGAAAAGTATATGCATTTAAATAGGTACCAAGAAAGTAATACAGGGTATTTTGTCAAAAACGACCAAATAAGATTTCTTCATTTTTATATTTTTTCCTAATGCATGCACACGTTTCTATTTTGTGTATCAAGTTTGAGCTAATTTCAGTCAAATTTAGATTAAAAAAAAATTTTTAAAGGTACTCCAAAATTGGGCTAAAGTCCCTGTACTATAGTACAGTGACTTTGGCCAAATTTTGGCAAAATTGAAAAGTAGAGAATTCTCTATTTTTATATTTTTTTCAGATACACATACATGTTTTTATGTTGTGTAAAAAGTTTGAGCTGATTCCGATCAAAATTAAATTTGTTACAAATTTTGGTAGTTCCTTTATTTCATTAACGGTAGCTCTTGCATTAGTACAGAAATAGTTACAAGTTATGATCATTCAAAAACATTCATATTCATCATTACAGTCTTACTGTTTGAGGTATCAGTCTCATTGCATTATTGTCCAGCCAGTGAAGTATTGGCCTAAGCATTAACTCATGCTGTCCTGATCTCCTGTTAGCCAGCTGGTGATCCTCCACCCTTCCCTCCAATTCATTATTAACAGAATCAATACAGTCAATGGATAGGACACCAGTATTGACCACTTCAAGCTTACATGGCTATAAAAAGAATTAAAATATATCTTTTTATTTCCTCTATTTGTATCTACACTTACTTTACGTGGATATTCTGATGGAAGTGTAATCTTAATGTCGAAAGAAGGAAACTTGTTCTCAATCTAAAAAGTAAAAAAATTATAATTTAAAACCCCCAAAACCCCAAAAGTACAATGTGTGTTCATATTATAATCTCTTACCCATTCAGGATCGGTTGGACTGAATTTGATAACATATGCACAACTATCAGAGCTCTTCTCCACCAGCTGGTGCTGGTCCCCATAATAACGCTTGGTCAGTTGCTCTATCTCAATATCACGAAGAGACTGAAGAGGAACTGATGAATCCACTGCTCTCTTAGGACGTGGTACAGGAGCTCTAGCAACAGGAGCAGAAACAGGACCAGCCTTCCCTTGACTACCAGTTTTAAAGAATGCATCTAATGTTAACGGCTCGGCCCTCCTCCCTGAGTAGTCCGACTGCCTGTGGTCTTTGGCTCTCTCTACAGGCGGGCTGATGACTGGCTGTGTGTACTAATAGTAGGAGGAGTCTGGAATGAAGGGGCTTTGGTCTTTGATAGAGATGAGGAAATGCTTGGGAAAGACATTGTTTAATAAAGTAATTGAATCATCTCTTGAATCATCATCATCAGTCCTACTAGCAGGAGAAGGAGAAGTGGGCGGAGTTAAATCATCATCTCTCAGAGGATGAAGAAACTTGCACTGGTCACCGGGCCATAGTGACAGTTTGAGGCCAGGAAATGTCGGCAGACTTGTTTAGTGGATTGAGGGTGTCGGTAGCGACAACGACTACCATAGGAACAGGATCCTTTATTGACGTACTCTTGGCATAATGGAGGAACACGTTTATTATTACTCGGTCCATTATGAAGATGTTTGAGAGGAACCTTACTTATTTTTTACTCGGGTGTAATGGAGCCATCTTCTTCCTTGCTCCACAGCCTCCCCCTAATCGCCGCATTCGCCGGGCAATTCGGGGGCATGGCCTGGGGGATCTGCTTTAATTCCTATGCATTTAGATATACTATAGCAGGTATCTAGTGGGAGTCGCAGTCAGGAATGTCACTGTCACAACTACACAAAATCAATGAGCTCAGGAATTTGGCATTGGCCTAGCTAGTCTCAGCGCCAGTGGCTGGCCGCCGAGCCGGCCTAACTCTGTAGTCTAAAATGGACAGAAATGTAGATGGAAAAGGTAAGTTGAACTCGCTCCCTTTATTTAGATCTAAATTCATCTAATGCTTTGTCATTTACTCTACACTGCAGATCAGTATAAATTTAATTGGAGAGCTCGACACACAACCGCAATAGTAAGAGAGGTCCTGTACTGCTGGGGAGGAGACCAAGGATTAGATGAATCAGAATGCGATTGCAGCGGTGATTTTCCTAAAAAGAGACAGCATATTTCTGTTATTGATGAGTTTGACTTTTCAAGTGGGGTTTGGTCCTCTCAACCTACTAGTGGTACTCCTCCATTGGGAATCAGAGGAGTCTCCTGTACCACCATTAATAATAATATTTATTATTTTGGTGGTTTTTGTGGCCACGGCAAATGCTACCATAACAGTTTGAACTGTTTAGACACTTTAAATCTTCAGTGGAAAGAATTACAACCAACTGGTAATGATTCTGTGACTAAGAAAGGCTATGGTGGTATGATAGCAATGGGAAGTGAAGGTGAACCTCAACAATTACTGGTTATTGGTGGACTGGCTCCTATATCGACTACTACAGAGCATCATCAGTTTGAATACCATAAGATACCTAGTCGGGATGATCGTCTTAGAACTAACGAACATAATATCTACAACTTGTCTAGCGGTAAGTGATTTGTTGCATTGTAATATTTTATATATCGTCAGTATTACATAATTATCACAAATAAATTACATCTATGATTGTATCAACATGAAATTATTTTAGGACAATGGATTGTTCCATTTGTCAGTGGACAGTGTTTTCCACCAACTGATAATTTCACAGTTGAAAGGATCAATCATAATAAAGGAATTATGTATGGAGGATCAGTAACTGATGGTGGTAAAAGTGTACCTACTAGCAGTATCTACTTATTTCAATTGTCATGTAATACAATAGTAAGCTATGCACAAGAGAAGTTACAATCACAATAGAATAATAAAATTAATTTTAGCAATTATAGCTAAATTCACATTGAGTTCACAATACTACATGAATGCATTATCATGCAATGTCATGTTTCTAGAACTGGGAGTCTCTTAGCAAAGGTGCAATACCTAATGATGGACTCTGGACTAAGGGGAGATATGCTCATGCCAGTACTATCATCAATGGTGTCTCTACCTCACCTACACTAGTAGTGATTGGTGGAATAGATAGTAATGATAAACCAGTGAATGAATATTTATTATTTGACACAAACCAGTACAATTGGATGAAGGTATTTATTATAGTCATTATACCAGCATATTGCTATGAATGTGAATTGATTAAAAATTTGTGGTATTATTCAAGCAAAGTCTGACCAGAAGTGGAGTAGTGTTTATAGGGTTTGGCTAAAAATTAATTATTATTGTGATCTTAGTTGCTATTTCGCTTCTTTAAAATTTTTGTTGAGCATTGCTCCTAAATTCCAACCCTACAACCTCCACAACAAGCTATAGCACCAACGTCACTCTGTAAATTGTATATACTCTATTTCTTATTTGCTATAGATTCCTGTACTTGATTCTGTTACTGGCAGATACTATCATACTGTATCACCTTTTGTTGTTGATCCTAATCATGTGTTCCTGATAATAGTGGGAGGTTATGCAAAGAAAGAACTGGTAGTTGTAGAAGGAGAGATGGAATGGATGAATAAACCTGTTACTTATCCTAATATTACAATGGTAGTGGAACTAGGTAATATCATTATTTATTCATGCCATGGGGCACCTTTTTTGAGGGCTATAGGTTTCATCAAGAGTGGATAATTATCCACTCTTCATTGATTTCATGGATTTAATATTCATAAATTTATGCAGTCTGCCATCTTGTACTGTATTAATTTGATTTTCATGGAAGTAATTTTCGCAAATCTTAAAAGAAAATCACGAAATCCACGAAATTTACAGCCCTTGAAAAAAGGCGCCCTACGATATCTGAAAAATTTTGTATACCTACATGTGCTAATCCACACCCAAGCTATGTGTCAGGTGAACATAATGTAAAGAATTATTTATTATAGATAATTAATAATACCACTTAATGAAACAATACATTTTCCTGAATTGTAAAAACTATAATTTTGTAATTCTTTTATCCTCACTTGCAATCATGGAATTACCATACAGCAGGAAATTTTTGGAGGGATTAAGTTAAATTTGGCAAAGTGCTGTGATTGGCGAATTTCAATTTGGTGAATTTGTGGCAACGTGCCATTCAGCATGTGAATAGATATCAAAATACAAAATTTAACTCTAAAATTTCCTGCTATACTGTATCTTACTCTCTCTCTCTCTCTCTCCCTCAGTTTTTAATGATGGTCAATGGTCAGTGGGTCCAGTATTAGATTCACATAATATTCCTTTATTGTATGAACAAATACTAAAAGAAAGAAGAAAGCAATTGATTGGAATGAATGAATACATGACAGAAGAAGTAAAGGAGCTTCAAGTTATCAATGAGTCTTTACGTCATGATCTACAAGTGGCTAGAATTAACAACCAATCACTTCAGGAAGCACTATTGGAATCAGGTATATTATAATATCTATGCATATCAACAAAAAGTTTTTGTTATTGTGTACACATTGCTTTGAAATACATGTAGATTAATATCCTTCATTATTGATTATTGCTCATTTAAAATAAGCATAATTTCTACCAACCTAAATGAATAGGCCATGTATGTTTTAATACCCATTTTTATGCCAATTTAAGTATATATGTACAATTGTACATGCATTATATCATTAAAT